CCGAAATAAGCAACAAAAAAAATGCAATGCAGAAAAAAATATATTAAAATATACAAGTGATGTTAAAAGTACCTAATTTTAATATTTGTTTATTTATTTTATTTTTGCTCGTCTAAAAAAATATGTATTCAATTGTCGTTTCATAATTTACATGCAGATATGGCTTTTTAATTTGCCCCTGCTTGCTAATAATACCCTCACCGTTGTTAATGTTGACTTTTTAGTAGTTCTTGAAACGCACGTTGTAAATGCAGAAATGCTTATGTGACAACTCATTTGTAATTGTAATTGAAATTTTTCTGTTTATGAGCGTTCACAAGCTGGCATGTGGAATATTTTTATTATTATTTCATATCTTATTGAGATTCTTATTACTGTTCTTTTTTATTTATTATTCATATTTTTTGTTACTTCTCATTTTTTAATTTTTTTTTTTTATACACTTTTATTTTTACTTTTCTTCACTCTTCGCTTTTCATAATTTTTGTATTTTTATATTACGCACTTACTACATACATACAGAGTAGACAGTTGGCATTTCACACGCCTTTATATTCCAACTCTTCAAAAATGTTGCTTTTACTACTTATGAGTATGACCATTATTATTACTATTTCTATTATTATGCTCATATATCGTATGTATTTGTGTTTGTGTGTGTGTCTGTGCAGTGTGCAAATTTAGTTAAGTTTCAATTAAAATGCAGTGCAAATAATTTTTATTAACAATTTAGAAACATTGTCTGCATTTAAAGTAGGCATTAGTTTGCAACGCAACGAGTTTAGCAATTTGTTGTTTTTGTGGTTTATTTAGTTTTACTCATAGCAAATGGTGGGAGAGTTTTTAGTCAACTTTTCTTTTTTTTGGTAGTTGAACGTATATGGCGTTGGATATAATTGGTTATTCTGGCGTGCAAAAATGACATATTAGTTCGGTTTGACTGTGTGTAGAGAAGAGGGCGTGGTTTGACAGTGAATCGATACAAATATAGTTACAGTTTTTGGTTGTAGAGTGAATTTATCCACACAAATGGATTGCTTTATAATTAGTTTTTACGGCCATGCTATATAGAAGATTTTTGATATAAATATAAAGTAAACTACGAGGCCTGGTTGTTTGTATGAATTGAATATTTGTTATACAACAAAGAAAAATGGTAGAAGTGACAACTACTTCGGAGATCACAACATCTCCTAATTAGACTTCTCATGGCAGGGATGCTTAATATTGAATTTTTCTCATTATGTTTCAATAAAATATTTACAATTATAAATTTCAAAATTTCAAAAACAGTTTAATATAACTTCAAATAATAATAATTATAACAAAATTTCAAAAACAAATTTAAATCCGTTTTTAAAATTAATATGACTTTTTACTCACACATTTTTAGCGATTGAAATGACTTTTTTAATTATTTTTCAAACAATACTTTTATGGTGTCTTTCAGTTGCTTTTTAATTAAGTTTTAATAACACTTTAAAATCTTTATTTACATATTTTTTATATTTATTTATTAAAAAGTTTTAAACAATATATAAATATGGATTTTAAGCAAAACAAATGTTATTTAAATTTTAAAAATTAAACTTAATTGAGTGAAATTTACAATAGTGTAATAAATTTTAATGCAAAAAATAACACAAAACTAATAAAATAAATGAAATAATAAACTAAAATGAAATACAATAAAATAAAATAAAATACATAATAATGAATTAACACAAAATGAAATAAAATAAAATAATTTAGACAAAACTAAAATTAAATAAAATTAAAATGAAATAATTTAAATTAAACAAAATAAAATCGAATAACAAAAGAAATTAAAATTAAATTGAATTAAAAAAAAAAATAAAAAAATAAGCTAAAAATAATATAAAATAAAATAAAATAAACTCCAACAAATAAAATAAAATTATAAAAAATTTAATAAAATAAGCTAACTTAAAATAAAATTAAAATATATTAAATAAGTAATAATTTGTTATTAAAATAAACTAACTTAAAATAAAACCAAAATAAATTAATTTAATCAAATTTATAAAAAAAATTAAATAAAAATAAAATAAATTAAAAAAAAAATAATAAAATAATAAAATAAAATGAAATAAAAAAACTAACTTAGTATAAAACTAAAATATATTAATTTATATAAAATTAAAAAAATCAAGGTATATAAAATTAAAATATATTAAATAAAAATAATTATGTAATAAAATAGGATAAAGCAAACCAATTTAAATTAAACTAAATTAAATAAAATAAAATAAATTTAAAAAAATAATAATATAAATGCAATATAATTATTTACAGGACTTAAAGTTATATAAAAAAGCTAAAATAAACAAAATAAAGCAAAACCCAAAAATTAAATAAAGCAAAAAAAAACCATAAATTGTAAACAGAACTACGAAGATATGAAAAAAATTTAAACGAAAGTAAGAATTGATGCAATTTATTAAAAAATATTATATTTTACTTTCCATTAAAAATTTAAAATTATTTTCCCATGCTAATTGGCTAACCCACCACCTCACTCAAGCACTGGTATAGAAAATAAGTAATTAACAACCACCAGCTATGCTCAACAAATTTAATATGCCGTCAGTAAAAGCGCTGCGACGCGTTAGAATTATAAATATTTCTTGTGTGAAATTAAAAAAAAAAAACAATCTACCGAAAGCGTTTTAAGTTCAAACGTAAACACACATACATGTATACATATATACTATTATGTACACGATGGACTTGTCTTGGAAATGAAACACGCAGCCGCATATTAATTTTCTTGTCCTTGCGATTTTCTTTGAAATTTAACGCTTAACATTAAAGTATTGTAAATTATATGTAAATTTTCATAATTATGTACGATATAGTTAAAAGTGTATAGCAAATTTTTTGCTGCAGCTTTTTTTAGACATAGTCTAGACGTTGTGACCGCGCTGGAAATGCACGCAAAAGTACTCGTACATGCGCTGACGTGCGTTTGAAAGTTGAAGTTTTGTGCGAAAAGTTGTGTTTATCAAACTCGCATGTTTATTCTTACATACATTAACATACGTATGAATATATGTGCATATTTAAATATGTATGCAACGTTGCGTAAAGCGCATCATTTGGATTTTTTTGACATTTTGACAGGCCAACAGGTTGGTCTAGTCGATCGGTCGTCTTGTTATGGCAACAAATAAAAAAAAAAAAAAAAAATACAACAGCAACAGACATTTGTCGGCTCATGCTGGGAAACTCCAGGTGACTGAGTAAATAATCAAAGAACTTTTAAGTGAAAGTGTGTAAAAAAATATAATAAAATATTATAAATTTGAAATTATATTTTATTTAACAAAAAGAGAATTTAGCAGCTTTTCTTAAAGAAAAATAAAAAAGGTGTATATAAATTTTGTTTGCTTGCCTTTGTTTTACTTACAAACAAATCTTCTCAATGGCCGCCTCGAATACAAGCAGAAAAAAATGTTAATTATTAATTAATTCTCATTTCAATAAAATTTTCGTGTGTTGTGTGTAAAAAATTACATTATTAACAAATTTTAGATTTTAACATGGCCAATTATGTTGCCTTAATTTATTGACAAATTAATATTTTTTCAGACACTTTTGACTATTTTATTATCGGTAAAATCAATATTGACGGTTACTTACATACCTATATATGCATTTAGTATAATTTTATGCCAGCGGTATGTGTAATTTTGTCCCGAATGGCGTCACTAACGAAATTTAATTATTTTTTACCAAATGCCAAGTATGCGAGACAGTCACGTTCTAAACGATTTTGCCGTTGTTTTTCTTTTAATTTGAATTTAAATTTTTTATGAAACCAATTACATTTATTTAGTCACTTTTCGCGTGCACATAATTTTCGATTTCGTTAAAAATAAACTGAGTTTTTATAATGTAAAAAATGGTAATTAGCAATTTATAATAAATTAAAATGTGTATAATTTTTTTCCTACGCTTTCGTCACGGCACTTCGGTGTCGAAATAATGAAAATTTATGTGCTACTCCTCCATGTTAATTACATATTAAGAGACAAAGAGTGTATGTTTGTATTTATTGTATATGAGCACAGGCTTAATATTATATTAGAAAAACAAAAAAAAAAAAAATTATGCAACTAATAAGATATTAAAATACGAGTCAAAAGGTGGGCGGCAAAAAAAAGAATTTTGCATTGCACGCACGATATCGAAAGAGGGGAATGTTTCACTGATATTCATGTTAACTTTTGCTGGGTTGTAGTGCTGACTTTAAACTTCAGGTTTACTTTTTTTTCTTGAAAACTGTCTTTAGCTTGAAGCTTTCCATTTTTCTAAATATTCGTTTAACATAATCAATTAAATAAATCTCTCATTTTATGAAATAAAATTAAAAACAATTAAAATATATAATTTAAATGAAAATTTTTTAACAAAAAAATTAATTAAAATTGTATGCAGACATGTGTGGGTAAAAGAAAACTCTCATAAAATTTCAGTGTGTGTTTAGTATGCGATCAGTACAATAATATTGGCTATCATAAACATTTCAAACTCAAAACAAAGCTTCAAACTCGCATAATTCGCTCTTTAGCATACTCAATTAAGCTTTTAATTGCGAGTTCTCACAAAAAAAGAAGATATTAAAAAAAGAATTGAAAACATAAAAAATTTATATTATACAAAAAATTGTAATAAAAAATCGCTTTGAACTTGGCGCTAAAGCCCACACACAAGCTACGTCACGGCGGTTCACGCAAAGCGCCGCCGCTAAGCGAGTAGCCGTGACTTCGTCAGCAGTGATTGACGGTACATTGCGGTAGTAGTAATTGTTGTATATATGTATATATAATTATAAGTTTATTATACGTCTTGGAATTTAAATTTTACCCATTTACCTACTTAAAATGTAATAAATTTTATTAACACAATCAATTTGATATGCATAATTCATATGATGAATTTTTCAACTTATTTTTCCTTTTCTTTCAATTTTATAGCGGCCTCCTAGTTCACAACTGTCATACGGTGGCGCCATGAACGATGACGCTAGGTCGCCGGGCGCTGGTAGTACACCTGGCCCATTATCACAACAACCACCTGTCCTAGACACATCAGACCCTGGTAAGTGAGGAAAATAATTATTATTTTAGTTATATTATACATAATATAAGTTGACATGAAATCAAGTTAAATTAAAATAAATTGCATAATAAATAAAATAAAGTAAAAAACTAATTATAATAAAATATAAAATAAAATTAAGAAAAAGTAAAATAAAATAAAATAAAATAACACACAATAAATCAAATAAAAACAAAGTAAAATTAAATAAAATAAAATTAAGAAAAAGTAAAATAAAATAAAATAAAATAAACTGAAATAAAATAATATATAAAAAAAATAAGATAAAATAAACTAAGATAACAAAAAATAAATTTAATTTAAATAAAATGAAATAAAATAAATAAAATAAAATAAAATAAAATAAAATAAAATAAAATAAAATAAAATAAAATAAAATAAAATAAAATAAAATAAAATAAAATAAAATAAAATAAAATAAAAAAATATAACTTAGTGAAATAAAATAAAGTTAATCTCCCAGCATAAAAAACTTCCATGGCATTGACAAGGCCACAAAGAACTTATACAATTTATAGCAAGCAACATTGTTGCCCGCTTCAGACAATTTTGCATACATTTAATTAAATTTCCAACACCTTGGAAGCTATTTAAGTCATAAAGTTTAAAGATCAGTCGCTAAGCGCGCGAGATGAGTAGATTTGAGACGGATTTTAAGGTCATTAAAATTTTTAGAGCTCAGGTATTCCAATTTTGTGTATACAATTTCGCTTATTTTTAACTATTTTCGCTTCTCTCACTTTTCTCACTTGTAAATCAATAGTATTAGGCTCGCCTAATAAACTTCAACATAAATTCATCATTTTAATTACTTTAGTAAAATTGCGACACGCCTAGTTTATGTGAATCTATCTACAACTACCAAAAGCCAAAGTAGCGAGCGCACAAAAATCTGTTAAAAAAATGTATAACCAAAAAAGTTAAGTGCTTAGTAGTAGTAAAAATGCCCTTATGGCGGCAAAGTTTAAACAACGCACGTAGAATTGAGCGCAAAATTGTAGTGTGGCTGAGCCTAAATCTTACAACAAGTAGAACAAACTTTGAGATAATACTGAAAACGACAAAAAAAAAGAAAAAATTAGTAAAGTGAAAATATGAATTTCAAGCTGAAAATCTCATTTTATGAATTTTTACCGACAGTTTCGGGGCGCTTAAAGCGTCGTAAGCTGCTTTATGTGCAGAACAAAAGAAGAAACGTAATGAAAAGAATATATAAATATAAGAATAATAGAAAGGCCTAAAAGAAAAAAACATCTCGCATTCACCATTGCGAGGCAGACAAATGGGCGCGCTTGTGCGTCTGCGCAGAAAATGCACCATCACTGCCTGCTGCTATGGCACAGTGCGCGCAGCTGCAACAACGGTGTGACGCAAGTATAGTTACAATTTTTGCCTATCACCGTAAATAATGCATTACATTGAAATATGTATCGGCATTAGTACGCGGCTATGAATGGTTGCGGCAGTGGAAATAAGGGTCTCAAGGTGCGCTATGCAAAAGATGTGCCTTCAAAACAACAAAATAACAAAAACAAAAAACGCTTTTGTTTAGCATTGGTTTTATTGCCTTTTTAATATGTTTTCCCATTTTTTATTTCTCTTAAGTACTTTTGTAGTTAAGTGTTGGCTTGAGCCCGGCTTTTGAAGTATTCCTCCACGAATGCTGTTATGGACCATTATATTTTAACTCTTTTCCCTACTTTTTTTTGTGGTTATTGATGTTACTATTTTTTTTTTCATTTTTATTTTTGTTGTTTCGATGAATAAGAAATAAAGTGCATTGCGGCCCAGTTACAAAGAGCTTTTCTTGTAAGTGCCGCCCGGTGCAGACTCGTACAGAAGCGCTCGCTTTGGCGGTAAAAACAACAACTTTCAAGTGTCTTTGAATTTGTTTTGTATCTCGTTTTATCAGATTTTAAGTTCTTAAAAATATTATTATTACTTCTTTTTCATTTCAAATGCGGTTGACGTCATTTTTCGGTAGAAGTGTAATACTTGAAAGTTGAGTGCCATAATTCCGACGCAACACTTGTATGAGATTGTTGAAGAAATGTGGAGCGTTTAAATGTAGTCTTTTAGACAGGCGTCTGCTAGTCTGTGGCGTTGCAGTGAAAGTTGTATATTTTCAAGTGTTTTATGTGTAAAAAGGAAATTTTAATTCTTTATTGGAAGTAAATAACCTTTTATCATTTTTAGTTAATTTTTGGAAGCACAGAATTTATGGAAAAAAATTTATATTTCGTTCAATTTATTTCTAGTTTAAATCTTCCTTAAAGTGTTAGCAAGTAGTATACTCAACTTGGGATCCAAATAATTTATTTTCAAATTTAAATAAATTTCAAAATCGATATAAATATATTTTTTTTTTACCATTAATTAAAAAAAGAACTATAAAAATGCCCAAACATCTTTACGAGTTCAAAATGTGTTCGTGTTAATTTTTACACATTTTTTAACTCTCAAATCATAAAAATTTTGTTTTTACTGTCTTTGACATTTTCTTCTGATGAATTTAACTTGTAGCATTTGCTATGGCACTCATTTTTACATGCAAACTTATGCCTTTGTCTCTATTTCCGTATAGATTACACACTAAATTAAGTAATGTCACTAATTAAAATTTTTCAAAACCTCTAAAAACAGCAAATAAATCTTTCAAATCATACACTTGCTTTAGTATAGAAATACTTTTTTAAATCAAAAGTGGATTTTCAATTTACAAAGACAGTTTTCAATCATTATTTCGTTCTTAAATGAATTTTAAAATTTTAGTTTTGCTTACTTAGAACTTTTTTATTCATTGGTAATTCCACTCGATTTTGACTTTTTTACTATTTTCGACCCCCAAAGCTAGCTTGAAAAGAATTTTTTATTTATGAATAAAAACGACGGGAATCCTTTTTTTGCCGACTTTCAAAATTTCTCTCAACCTTTTCTTTTCAAACCCTTCAGCTAAAGCGCAATGTTGCCTTTACAAATACAATAAAACGCTAAAGTTAATTTTGCAAAGTAGCGAAAAATTGCCCGTATCATGAGTGGCAGCCACACCTCTTTCCTCCCGATTAACAGCAAACAAAAATAGTGAGTATTTTTTTAATGCAAGTTGGCCGCTGAAAAAATCAGCTACGACACCAAAGCGTCAAAACAGGCAATAATAATATTTTTTTACACGTATGAATACCCGTCCACCCATTGCAACCCCTAAAGGTGGCAATAAAAAGTGGAAGTAACAATTTTACGAATACAGGGCTGGCTGTGAACAATTGGTGGCGCCTCCACCAGAGCAGCAATTCGAGTAGTGAGATAAATAATGTATTATCATATGCGACAAAGAGAGCGATGATGCTGATGTAATGACGAACTGCTTGGCAAAAGTTGGTGGTTGGCATCGCTTATCTACATACACACATACATATATGTATGTGCATACAAATGTACATTTAGTTAGTTTTACTTTAGCAATTTTTTTTTTGTCTCTGGTTCTGTTTTTTTTTTTTTGTGTTTAATTTTTTCTTTCAATTTGTCTTTTTTGCTGCTTGCCAAGGGTGCGCATCGAATTTCCACCTCTTTTGTCTGCGAGTGCGACTCGTCATACAAGCATACAAATAAATGTACAACAACAATTTTTTTATTCAGCTTTTATTTGCAACATCCATAGTTGCTGTTCCGAAAATTTTTTTTCGGGGTGTTTTTCTTTTCGTGCGTGTATATATGTGTGTGTGTGTGTCTGTTAGTGCGCACAGCATATCAAATCATATTGTAAAAAGCCATCAAAATTAACGCGTATTCATCAGCAACAGCAACAGCATCAGTGTTAGCATCAGCAGGGGCAACAACAGTATTTAGCATGGCGTAACAACAACAATAAACAGTGTTGAGCTCGACAATGGCAACATGCATGCTTATGCATATGACAAGCTCAAGTACGAAAAGTGGCGAATTAAAAATAGTTGTGCCATAGAAAATGCATAAAAAAAAGAGAACTTAACGAATACAACAATAATAACAAAAGTTTAGCGGAGGGAAAAAATGAAAACAAAAAGAATTTGATCATTGAAGTTGACAAACAAGCAACACCAGTTAAATGCGACATTGATAACAACAACAACAACAACAACAACAACAACAACAACAACAAGAAAGCAACCATCATGCCACACAATGCCGCTGCAAATAATACACAAAGGTTGTACAAAAACCAATTTTTGCTCTGCTTAAGCAGCGACTTTTGAACCATTTTAAGGTCTTATCTGTTAATCAAAAAAATAAATAAAATAAAATAAAATAAAATAAAAATAAAAAAATAAACAAACATAAATTAATACTAAGGACATTCGGAAACGTGGAAGAGTGATAGGTAATTTGAAGGAAAAGCATCTAATCCCTTTTTTCTGACATTGAATGCAAGGATAAATATTTTCGAGAGTTTAAAAAACATTTGATCAGTTTAAAGACTTTTGAAAAGTATAGAAATGAGTTTCAAAATAACTAATATATAATAAATATAATATATCACTTCATATACTCATACCCCGCAGTTTAGGGCTTGTTTACAAAATCTTCCTCTTACAAAAATAGATAATTTATTTTAAAAAATTGCTTAGTTTGCTTTTGTTATTCGAAGTATTTATGAGTAACATTTTCAAAAAATTTATTTATTTTATTCAGACATTTTGCTTCAGAAAGATATATTAATTATTTCCAATTTTTCTCAATTTAAATCTTAAAAAAATTCACTTAAAATTTTTCATTTGCATTTCGAGTAACATGATGTTTTTTGCACCTCAAAGATTCCTTGACACCGAAAAATGACTGAATCTTTCAATACAAAATTTCTAATAGTAATATGCTAATTGTTATAGTCAGAAATATTTAGTGCTTAAATTTTTCAAAAAAAAAAAAAAAAAAAAAATCATACAAAACAAAGGTATTAAGAATGTACTAAATCTGGTCTTAGAAAGTCAGTGCCAATAGCTGGC